CGGACACTGTCAGTAAAATGTTGGTTGATTAAGGATAGAAATTATTGAAATGCTATACCTGTCAATTAATTTGTTAATACACTATTACAAAATCTGAGTTTATTTTGGAGAAAGAGCTTAGATTAAAGATTAAAAAAAGGCATAATATCGTGGCTATTGTTTCTTAGACTACCTCCACTATTACTAATACTATTTCTTCGCTAGTACTCCAATCTCTGCCCCATTTTTAATTACAACTACTGCTTCCTTATTGCCACCTCCATCACTGATGTACTACATCTACCACTACTAGCTACCACTACCTCTTTTTCCTCTTCCACCCCCCCACTCTCGTAAATATTCTTTCTTTCCTTTACGCTTCTCTGTGTGACCAGTTAATGATGCAAATCGGACTGAAACGTCCGATTTGCATCATTAACTGGTATTTCCCCACCCCTCCCTCCCCACCCGTTCCGGTTCTTCCCCTTTCCTTCCTGCTCCTCCCATACCATTACTAGTCTTCCCCTCCCCTCCCTCCCGACCCCTTCCGGTTCTTCCCCTTTCCTTCCAGCTCCTCCCATACCATTACTAGTCTTCCCCTCCCCTCCCTCCCGACCCCTTCCGGTTCTTCCCCTTTCCTTCCAGCTCCTCCCATACCATTACTGGTCTTCCCCTCCCCTCCCTCCCCTTTCGAGGTCCATTCCTCTTTTCTCAGGTTTCAATTTCAGTCAATCTTTTTCCCTTCCAGGTTTCCTCTACCCCTTTCAAGTATTGATTCCTCTCCTTTTCCATGCACTCTCCTTTCATTCAGAGTTTTCCACAAGGTTTCCTTTCCTTTCTTTTCCTCGCCTGTCACTCAACTACTCCCCCTGAAACAAACGCTCAATTTGAACCCCACAAAACACGTACTTGGAAGACTATCCTAGTACTTTAAGTTAGGAGTCCCAAGACTCTTCAACTCATCGTCACCTTCATGAAGTTTCAGACTGTTCGTCGACCCCGAAACTACTACTACTACTACTACTACTACTACTACTAATAATAATAATAATAATAATAATAACAATAATAATAATGATGATTTCATAAAATATAGGTAATATTTAAATTGTGAAAAATATAAGATTTAACATACTCTTCTTTACTGAAACTGTTGATATCATTAATGGAAAGGATTCATCTGATGAGCGTCAACAAGGACACTGATACTTGGTAGGAGAGATGAGAGAGACAAGGAGGATGATGGAACTTCACAGATACACAACGCAGAGCTCTTCCCCAGACATTTACTGACCCACAGCCATTTATCGACCCCTTCGATAATCCCATCTACCCTTTGGGGTCTATTGACCACTCTGAGGAACCCTGCTTTCACATGATGAGACTTGAAAATATCACTGAAAAATATCTAAAGTTGTTTCTCTCAACAAGATTCAATAAACATTGTTTTTCCTACCAATATCATTCGCGCAGAACTGGTTGGAGTCAATGTTGGTAGCTCTGGAACACGCGCTGTGCGCAGAATCACACCGAGAGTCGTGTTGCTGAAGAATTACATCCCAATTGTAATCTCCGCTCTGATGCTTAAATGTCTGCCCAGGAAAAACAAAGTATTTAAACAATTTTTCCTTAAATTTATAGATGTGTTATATTGTAATTGCATTAAAATTTATGCATTTCATGAGAAGAAAAAAATAGAACCAGTCTTTATTTGAATTATTTTTCGCTCTGCACAGCTTTAGCATATAATTATTTGTTAAAGTTGTACTCAGAGCTATGTGATGTTCCGATCAAAGTTTTTTTTACCGCACCTTGTATTTTATCTTCAACAACGTCAGCAGTACGCTATATAGATGCTGCAGTTTTTACAAAGCACCGTGAGGGCGGGGAATGTGGCTAGGCCTGGGGACACTTGGTCCCAAAGATGAGGAGGTACTTGTGCCTCCTCCCATGGGAGACACTCCCCAGATAGGGAGCCAAGGCCGGGTCACCACTACTTGGAAAAGACCCGGGCCGGGAGAGTACCGGTGAATAAAAAAAAAAAAAAAAAAAAAACTTGGCTAACCCGTCGTTATAAATTCTAGTCATCTTAGAATAATCCGGCAGAGCAAAACTTTTATTTATTTTCTTGCTTAGTTACATTGCTCTTCTCTGAGAGTACCAATGAAAATTTTGATGAGTTCTTTGTACTAATTTGCACTTCTATTCGAACGTTTGTAATGTAAATATAAAAACAGTATTTTATGTGCTGCTATAGATATAAGATGAATTCATTTTGCACTGGTTTCTCTATCTGGAAATATATGAAAAATAATCCTGATTATTAAAATCATACATATATATATGTGCTTATGCTCTGAAAGATGGATGTGAATGTTGCGATTCAGAAGGTCACTTAAACTGTAATATCCCATCACTTCTGGTACAATAACCCTCGAGTAAGTCATGTCGATGAGTTTCCTTCTCCGGAGTCACCCTCGTCCTTGGAAAATTATTTAATAATTCGAGAGAAAAGTTTTCGGTCAGTCTTACGAATATAAAACTGACTGTCAATTCACTTTTAAACTTGGTTCTTGCAGAATAATGAGGATACACATAGCAAAAGTAAGCATATAATGAAAATAAAAGCTGTCTCTAGAAAGTAGAGTACGTATTATGTTCCCTGATGGAGATAAAAGGTATAAAATACCGACACGGTGGAAAAAGTAAGATAAATGTAGTGAATGGAGTGAATGGAGACGAATGATACTTGGGACCTGACGATCTGTTGGAGTGTGAGCAGGGTAATATTTAGTGAAGGGATTCAGGAAAACCGGTTATTTTTATATAGTCGGACTTGAGTCCTGGAAATGGGAAGTACAATGCCTGCACTTTAAAGGAGTGGTTTGGGATATTGGCAGTTTGGAGGGATATGTTGTGTATCTTTATACGTATATGCTTCTAAACTGTTGTATTCTGAGCACCTCTGCAAAAGCAGTGATAATGTGTGAGTGTGGTGAAAGTGTTGAATGATGATGAAAGTATTTTCTTTTTGGTGATTTTCTTTCTTTTTTGGGTCACCCTGCCTCGGTGGGAGACGACCGACTTGTTGAAAAAAAAAATGCGATTCTTTATTACATTATACTGCATTTGTTGGTAAGACATGTGGAATAGTTAGGTATCTTTATGTGTCTTACCTAACAACCTGTCGGTGTTTTATACCATTTTAATATTCTTACTGCATTTGTGTTCATTTTCCATGTTGGTTTAGAAAGACACGTAAGCAAACACTATTTATTAGAAAAAGTTTCGGTCCTGAGACCTTGATCACTTCTAACATACAGAGGTAGAAAGACATTATATATATAGGCGGAGAGTGAGGTGTGAGTGGCGCTCGGTGACCTGAAGAATGTCATGTTGAGATGAGGACAGGTAGACGATGATATCATGTGACTCCTGTGTTGTTGGGTTGGTGGTGCTTGAGTATCATGTATGCCAATGTTTTTGAAATTTTGTAGTTTCCCGTGTTACGTTCTACAGTGAGGCGCCACTCACACCTCACTCTCCGCCTATATATATAATGTCTTTCTGCCTCTGTATGTTAGAAGTGATCAAGGTCCCAGGACCGAAACGTTTTCTAAAAAATATGTCATAGTGTTTGCTTACGTGTCTTTCTAAATCAACTTGTCGGTATTTATTACCAAGGTTTATACCATCATTTTCCATGTTCCCTGATAGTGCCAATAATAATACTACTACTTACAACAGCTGTTTTTTCACCAGGAAAGTCTTGGGTTAAGACACAAGCCGGCTGTATATGGTAGGAGAAGGTGATTGCATTCTTCAAGCGAAGCAGAGATACGTCATTAGAAGGTCTCCGTCCTGGTTTGTAATCCGGAAACAGATGCACACTGCTAATCTGGCCAGAAAACATGTGAAGGATTACCTAGTAAGGAATCAGGTGAATAATGAACAAAGCAGGAACATAAACACCGATAAAATACCCTTGAGGAGAAGCGAGTGAGTAATTACCCAAAAAAGAAACTGCTGTATAATACGTATGAGGGAGGAACGTAAGAATGGTGGAGCACTGCAGCAGGCCTACTGGCCCATTCAAGGCAGAGATTATCAAAACCACCCATTCCCACCCACATATTTATTCAACCTTTACCGCAAGCTACAAAAGAATTTGCTACAGTACCTCAGGTACTAATCAAACCAGGCTCTTTTCATTATATATTTGTCCAGTCTCTTGAAGCTATCCAAGGTATTAGCTTCCATCACCCAACTCGGCAGATTGTACCACGCATCGACAACCCTGTTTGAAAATCAGTATATTTACCTACGTGAGTATCTGATCACTTGGGTGAGAAACAGACCAGGGGAGTATTATTAATAAAATAAAGTATTGGGAATTACAAAAGGGAAATAATAAATAATTTCGAAGGCAAACAGTGAGACATACCTGTAAAAAAAGCAGAGGCGAATATTTGATGGTATATAAGGACATGCTCCAGTGGAAAAAAACCATACCCCGGCCGGGATTGAACCCGCGGTCAGAGAGTCTCAAAACTCCAGCCCGTCCTACCTACCGTCCAGCTCCTATGGTGTAGAAATATACCTAGTTGGACGAATCTTATTGTGGCTAGCTGGTCCAGTGGCTAACGCGACGGGCTGGAGTTTTGAGACTCTCTGACCGCGGGTTCAATCCCGGCCGGGGTATGGTTTATTTGCAATCGTGTCATTACGATTTCGTGAGTCATGCTCCAGTGGGTTTACAAGGAGGAAAACATATGAAGATTTATAAAGGTGGAAGGGAAGAAGTATATTTCTGGATGAAATGACATCGTTTCTGAGTAAAGATTATTTCTTAAAATTTAATCAGAGATATTTAATACCAGCAAGTTGGTGAATAAGAAAAATTTGCAAGGGGGAGCGGGAAGGGTAGCTTTGCTAATCTAATAGACAGATATGAGAAAGGAGATTTAAAATGTAGGGGACCAGAAGAGGTAGTAGTAGTCTTGTTGTGATGAATGGTTTTGAAAACCGACAAGTTGAAGAATTGAGACACTTATGCAACACATGGGAATCTTTATTGAAGAAACGTTTCGCCACACAGTGGCTTCATCAGTCCAATACAAAGTAGAAATGGGTAAGGAGAGTAGAAGTATGAGGTAATCAGTCCCTCAACCTGGATTCGATGTGTTCAGTCCATCACTCTTGTAGTAAGTGCAGCATAGGGCCAGAGAGGTGGCTTATATACTGCGGTGAGATGAGTTGAAGCAGGAGGCGGGATCTTAGTGGGACCTGCCACTAATGTAAGTAGGTCATCGTCCAAAGGTTTGGGAAAGCGTTGAAGTCTTTGTACCAAGATTCCATGATGTTGCAGTGTCTGACAACATCATGGAATCTTGGTACAAAGAGTTCAACGCTTGCCCAAACCTTTGGACGATGACCTACTTACATTAGTGGCAGGTCCCACTAAGATCCCGCCTCCTCCTGCTTCTCACCGCAGTATATAAGCCACCTCTCTGGACCTATGCTGCACTTACTACAAGAGTGATGGACTGAACACATCGAATCCAGGTTGAGGGACTGATTACCTCATACTTCTACTCTCCTTACCCATTTCTACTTTGTATTGGACTGATGAAGCCACTGTGTGGCGAAACGTTTCTTCAATAAAGATTCCCATGTGTTGCATAAGTGTCTCAATTCTTCAGTAGTCTGGTTGATGTGCACTGATGTAGTGGTGATAAATTAGACACATGTGCAACTCTTAGGTGTCTTCATTAAGGAAACGTTTCGCCACACAGTGGCTTCATCAGTCCATACACAGGAGAAGCTTGAAGAACAGGAGGAGAATGAGGTAATCAGTCCCTCAACCTTGAGTCGATGTGGTCAGTCCATCAATCTTGAGTAGAATACGGCATATGAGCGGAGAAGGAGCTTATAAACCGTAGGTAGGAGAGGTGCAGCAGTCGTAGGTGGTGTCACATTTGCCCAATGTGGAAGTAGGTCGTGCCCAAGGGTTAGGCAAGCGAAGAATTCCCAAGTATTAAGATCCCAAGAAGTTGCAGTGTCTGACAGGATTGTAGATGAATGGTTCACAGAACCGACATGTTGATAAATTAGACACATGTGCAACTCTTGGGTATCTTTATTAAAGAAACGTTTCGCCACGCAGTGGCTTCATCAGTCCATACACATGAGAAGCTTGAAGAACAGGAGAAGAATGAGGTAATCAGTCCCTCAACCTTGAGTCGATGTGGTCAGTCCATCAATCTTGAGTAGAATACGGCATATGAGCTGAGAAGGAGCTTATAAACTGAAGGAAGGAGAGGTGCAGCAGTCGTAGGTGGTGCAGCAGACGTAGGTGCAGGACCTACGTCTGCTGCACCTCTCCTGTCTACGGTATATAAGCTACTTCTCGACACATATGCTGTATTCTATTCAAGATAGATGGACTGACCACATCGACTCAAGGTTGAGGGACTGATTACCTCATTCTTCTCCTGTTCTACAAGCTTCTCCTGTGTATGGACTGATGAAGCCAATGTGTGGCGAAACATTTCCTCAATAAAGATACCCAAGAGTTGCACATATGTCTAATTTACCACTTCTTGAGATAAATCCAAGTAATCTGTTGGCCTTGTTGCGCACACTAAGGCACTGCTGTCTTGGCTTTAGATTTCTGCTTACCATGACTCTCAAGTGTTTTTCACATTCTGTATGATCAAGCTCTACTTCACCTAGATTATAGCTTCGAGTTTTTTTTTCATTACCTTCTTCTTCTTCTTATGACCAGAGCTTTGGTAAGATGGGTAAGGAAGAAGGATGGGTAAGGATGGAAATATTGGAAAAGGGTGGGAGGGGGGAGAGAGGTAGGATATAAAAGGTAAGTGGCCCAACCACTTTGGTGTAATTTAAAAAGTGTATGTGAAATGATAAGATATTCTTTAAGGGGTATAATACTAACCCATCAGAGTCACATAGATATAACAGATATATAAGTACATGACTCTGAATTGGTAGGAATTATACAAGTTGCAATTGCTTTTTTTTTTTTTTTTTTTTTTTTTTGCGATTGCACAACGGATATTTATACGACAATGAAGGCAATAATTTTCTGGCCAGTTTATAGAATTACGTGACAATGGCTTCTTACAGGTGGTGTCCAGACATGGTAAATAGCATAATTTTTGCATTAGATTGTTATATAAGATGTCTCCCTAATTGGGGGCGATGATTTTCTCAGTATACATAGAAGGGTTCTGGTGTTACCCAATCTTCTTCATCAGGGAGGTTGCTCAATATCATGGGTCGATGGTAATCATCTTTATGAATAAAACGACGGGCCCTCTGTGGGAGAGTCATTCTTTGAGTCTTGTGAGGAGTATTGATGATATAATCCGTGGTATTTACCACTTGTATAGGATGTTCTCTATCTGGCATGTATAGTTCTTGCATTGTATAGAGTTGTTTCTTTTTTAGGGTGTCAAGGCGTACATTTAAGGCAGTAATATCTTGTTGTATGTGTAAATCTGCCATTTTAACTCTGTCTCTCCTCCTGGTATCGGTAATGAAGCGAAGAGCTCTATTCTGGAACCTTTGTAACCGTAGCATGTTGGTCTTTGTTGTTAATGACATTGGGACACAAGGGTATTCGAGTATTGGTCTTATTATCATTTTATACATGTTTTTTGACATGTTGAGGGGCTTGATTGAATCGAAAGAGACTGCTAAGACCGGCTTTGGCTATGTTGATCTTTTTAGTTACATGAGATGTTGAGTGGAGCAGCCTGTCTATTTCATATCCCAAAATCTTGTTAGGGTTTCCAATGGCTACAGGTGTACCTCTGATGGAGATACCTCCTTTATCTTCAATTGTTGATACAAAACATCCTATCGTGCTAACAAGGACCTTGTCAGGATTAGTCGTAATTCTCCATTTCTTTTCCCATTTAGATGTTCGACGAAGTTCAATATTCATTTTTTCTATGACTCTCTCATACTTGTATTTTCCTGTTACCGGAGTTGATGAGACGACATGAATAACATCATCTGCAAACTGTGTCACAATTGTATCATTAAACTCTGGTTGAGGAAGGTCATTCACATAAATGTTGAACAGAATTGGACTTAGACAAGAACCTTGTGGGACACCAGCTGTCGGTATAAAAGACTCTGTCGACCTGCCATGAAAGGTGGGAATGGTTTTTCTTTGAGTTAAGAAATTAAATATTAATCTGAGAAAAGTCCAGTTATGGTCTGGTAGGTCAATGAGTTTGTATATAAGGCCATCATGCCATAAGCTATCAAAAGCTTTATGAACATCTCTGGTGGCAATTAAGGCAAGATTGCCCTGATGTTTTAGACTTGCTACAGTATCGAAAATAACATTTATTGCATGATTGGTACCTCTATGTGTTCTAAAGCCAAATTGTTTTTCAGTAAAAAAGTGATTAAACACCATATAGTAGTTCAATCTGTTGGAAATGACTTTCTCAAGAACTTTTCCAGTGACTTCAAGTAAAGATATAGGTCTATAGTTCCCAGGTTGGTGGATGTCTTCATTGGGCTTACCAAGAAAGATCATCCTAGCAGTCTTAAAAACCACTGGAAAATGTCCTGAGGCCAAAATGGCATTAAAGATATTTACCAAAGACTGTTTACAATTTCTGGGTAGGAACTTTATTTGTTTCATTGTTATTCCAGAGAGGCCAGGGGCTCTATTTCTCATTCTGCCAATAAGCTGACTCATCTCTAGTAATGTAATAGGTCTAGTAAGCGGGTGGGTATCTTCAAGAGTTGAAGTATCGATGGAATTTTTTCATTACCAAGGGCAAGTACCTTACACTTATCCACATTGAACTTCATCTGCCATTTTTCAGACCAAGACATTAATTTGTCCAAATCGTCCTGGAGTTCATTGATATCCTCCTCAGAGTGAATTATACGGCCTATCTTTGTATCATCAGCAAATTTACTCATGTCACTCGTAATCCCTTCATCAAGGTCATTAATGTAAATTATGAACAAGAGAGGGCCTAAAACTGATCCTTGTGGAACGCCACTAGTGACTAATCCCCATTCAGATTTCACCCCATTTATGGTAACTCTCTGCTTTCTATGTGTAAGCCATGCCTCAATCCATGCTAGAACTTTACCTCCTATACCATGAGCTGCCACTTTTCTTAAGAGTTTCTTGTGAGGTACTCTATCGAAGGCTTTACTAAAATCCAAATAAACAATAACATATTCTTTATCACTGTCAACTGCCTCAAATGTTCTATTGAAGAACGTCAGTAAGTTTGTCAGGCAGGAACGACCTCTCGTGAATCCATGCTGAGATTCAAGGTGACTTCTAATAATGTCAGCTACAATTGGTTCTAATAACTTGCCCACTATAGATATCAGGCTTATTGGACGGTAATTTGAAGGAGTGGACTTATCCCCTGATTTGAATATAGGAACCACATTAGCCATCTTCCACAACTCTGGTACAACACCGGTAAGGATGGACGCATTAAACACACTCGATAATGATTGACTGAGCTCCATCATGCATTTCTTAAGTACCCTGGAAAACAACTTATCGGGTCCCGGGGATTTATTTTGCTTCAGTTTGTCTATCTGTTTAATAACCATGTCCCTCGTGACAGTAATATTAGTTAATTTAAATTCATCAGGAACTAAATAATTGTTAATTACTGGAATCTCATTTACATCTTCCTGTGTAAAAACTGACAAAAAATAGTCATTAAATAAAGAACACATTTCCAGTTCATTATCCGTCAGTTGTCCATTCCCAATTTTCAGAGGTCCTACTTTTTCCTTCACCTTCGTCCTATGCACTTGAAAGAACCCCTTTGGATTAGTCTTTGATTCACTAGCAACTCTAATTTCATAGTCACATTTAGCCTTTCTAATCCCCTTTTTTACTTCTCTTTTAATCTGAACATATTGGTCAGTAAGGTTAACATCTCCTCTTCTGATGTGCCTATAAATTCCCCTTTTCTCCCCTAACAGATGCTTTAGCCTCCTGTTAACCCATTTGTGATCGTTATTATTAGACCTAATTTCTCTCTGGGGAATGTATATACTCTGGGCACGGTGTACATTATTAAGAAAAAGATCAGAAATGCAGATCCCTTCATAATTAAAAGTATGATCATCATGAATAAAATCATTAGCTAGATAACCCCAATCGAGATTAGACAGGTGTTCCCTTAGTCCATTATAATCGGCAGAACGAAAATCAGGGATTTTTACTGTATTATCATTATTCTTGCAATCCCAGTTAATGCTAAAAGTGATGGATTTGCGATCACTTGCGGCAAGATCTTCAGTGATCTCCAGATTCTTTAGAAGTGTTTCCTTATTTGACAAGACTAGGTCTAGCAAATAATTACCCCTGGTAGGCTCTGCTACACACTGCTTTAGAAAACAGTACTGAACTGTTTCCATAAAGTCACTGGACTCTAGATTACCGGTCAAAGAATTCCAGTCAATTTGACTAAAGTTAAAATCCCCTACTATCACTATGTTACTCTGTCCAGAAGCCCTAGCAATTTCGTCCCCAAGAGGTGTCCCTCTATCGTGATCCAAGCCAGGAGGTCGGTATATTACACCTAGCCCTTTCAGGGTCCGTCCCGTAGATCTACGGCTTTACGGTGAGTGTCCAAACCGTAGATCTACGCCATGAGCTCAGATCACTCTGATAAACTGTGAGTGGTACATTTGGGCCTAGATATGAGAGAATACATCTATGTGGTATGTGTGCACCACATAAAACAGATCCTGCAGCACACTGTGTATAATGAGAGAAAAAACTGAAATCATGATTTTTCGATTAAAACAGCAACTTTGCAGTGTTTTTTCGTATGTTTTTTATAGTTGTATTTGCGATTTCTTGATCTCATTTGATAGAATGGAAGACATATTATAGAAATAGAGATGATTTTCATTGGTTTTAGCACTGGAAATGGCTTGAAGCTGAGCTCAAAGTAGCGGAAATGTTAAATTTTTGCCGATATTCAAGAGTAAACAAACGACCTCACACGTCTAATACACGTCAGCTGGTGGGTCTAATATACATTCACAAATATGGTGATGATATTTATACAATTATTACAGTATTGCATAACAGTAAATCTTATATTTTTTGGTGTGAATAAAAATTCATTATGTGAATAAAAAATCAAAATGGAATTTATTTGTAAAGCCTCAAAACATAACTAATGAACAGAGGAAATGTTAGTTTAGTGCCAGAAATGCCTACATTGTTTATTCTGGACCCTATTTTGAAATTGGAATATTTTGAACTTTGTGTTAAATTGGCCAAATTAACAATTTCCGATCACTTTATTTTGTAGTTGAGACAGTTGACTTGGCGATTTCTTGTGCTCAATCGATAGAATAGAAGTAATACGAGTGAAATAGCTAAGAATTTGGTTGATTGGAATAATGTAATTGGCCTAAAATGGGAATCATAATCGGCAAAATCGCCGATTCGTAAACATCGCTGACACATCAAAATTCGCGAGAGCATAATTTCGTAAATTTTCCACCAAATTTTGTACTTTTTGTTTTATTACCTTCACAAAAAGATTCTCTACGATTTCATAAGAAAAAATAACAATTTTTTTTTTTTTTAATTCTTGGACACTGGTGCGTGACTCCAGATTTGGGCCTTGGACCCTGAAAGGGCTAAAATTAGTTTTTCTTGACCTTCTAAAACTCTACCCAAACAGATTCTGTTACTGTTCCTTCTATTTTTATACCTTATTTGTGCAACAATTAATATTTTCTCGAACATATAATGCAACTCCTCCCCCTTCCCATTACATCTATCCACATGGAACAACTTAAACCCTTGAATATTACACTCAGTAATCATATCCCGACTCTTTAAATCATATCAGGTTTCAGTTAATGAAATGACATCAAAGTTCCCAGCACATGCTACCAAACGTAGTTCATTAATCTTATTTCTTGCACTTCGACTGTTAGCATAAAATACCATCATAATTTTTTTCTTCTGCACATTTTTCCTATTCATCTTTGTTTTTACACAATTTCTGAAATTATCATTACCCAGAGTTACTCCATGACAGTTACTATTAAGATTCTTAATATCAGAGCATAAGTCAATATATCCATACTCATTGTTTATCATTTCTAAACCCATACCTCTAACTAATCCTAGTTTAAAGTCCTAACAACCCCCTCAACTGAGCTAGCAAGAAAACCCACACCTGCCCTGGATAAGTGAACCCCATCCCTTGCATATATGTCATTTAGGCCATAGAAGTTGTCCCAGTTGTCAATGAATGGTATTGCATTATCCATACAGTGTTTATCCAGCCTACAATTGATATCAATTGCTCTGGACAACCATTCATTTCCAACACCCCTTCTTGGCAAAATGGCACATATAACAGGGTGCCCCCCTTCTTCCTTATTATGTCTATAGCTGTCCTGAACTTTCTAACTAAATCCTCACATCTACGCTTGCCTACATCATTGCCTCCAGCACTGAGGCAGATAATAGGATTGATCCCATTACCGTTCATGATGTTGTCAAGCCGGCTAACAATGTCCTCCATCCCAGCCCCAGGAAAACAAACCCTCTGTCTCCTACTCCTGTTCTTCAAGCAGAATTCCCTATCCATATATCTAACCTGGCTATCCCCAACAACAACAATATTCTTACCTTCCTCGTTGTCGTTCGTCCTGACGTTTCCAGTAGTCGACTCACATTCGTCGGGTAGCACTGAGAATGCATTAGATGTTTCCACAACAGTTTCCACAGCAGTCTCTTTCTTCATCATCGTTTCTACCTTTCCATTCGTCTTCTTGATCGTCAACTTCGTTCCATGCTGTCCAGCCACTGTCCAGTTTCCCTTCTTGACCTGAGGACTCAGAACAGGAGGACTGCTACGAATCCTCTTGTTTTCCTCAGTCAATCACCGTATCTCCATCTTCGCTACCCTCAATTCTTCCTTGAGCTGCCGGTAAAGTTGCTCGATGGAGGGCATCTTGGTTCAATCCAAGGAGAGTACACTAACGTCCTCACTGAGCTAAGTACACGTCACCAGTATTAGTAGTGTAGTAGTATTAGTAGTACTAAATACTACTACCACAACTACTACTACTAGTTGTGGTAGTAGTATTTAGTGATAGTAGTAGTAGTACTGTAGTAGTAGTAGCGGCAGCAACAGCATGGTAAGCAAAAGGACACAAGCGCAACTAATGTGACAATTTATTGCGGTAACGTTTCGCTCTTCAAAAGCTTTATCAAGCCGTTACGACTTTATAAATTGGGTCAAGGCCCAAATCACCACAAATATAAAACATAAAAAATGCAGATATTTTGAATTTTTTCTTATTAATGCATTTAAAACCATAGTACAAAGCACGGGGAGTTTAATGACTCTGAAGGTCTTGACTCAACAACCATAAAACGTAACGACACAACAATCAGATAAATCACAAACGAATATCCACTGAAATGTCACCATCTACTGACATGTAATATCACTGGTATTGTTGCTACTACAACAACAACTATTACCACTACTACTTCATCACTGCATATAATTCCCACTACTACTTACACCCTTCCTCTTTTAAAATATTAAATCTCGTTTTTCATCTCTCCATAAAAATGAATATAACTTCTTGGTGGACTAATCGTCTCTAATGAGCTCAAAGTGTTGCACATGTGTCTTATTCCCCAGTTTCTTTCTTAGTCTCAAATACATTTTTTTGCTTGAAAGATAAGCTGAACGGTAGTATTTAGAGACATCACTGAAATTCCCAGACTTTCCAAAACTCACATATGACGTAACGAGTTGTCCGTTGGTCTGGATGTGTTGTACTCTGATGTCTTCTGCATTCACTGCCTGACTGGACGCCTGTGATCTGTCGCCAGAAAATAAAAATCAGTAAGTGTGTGTGTGTGTGTGTGTGTGTGTGTGTGTGTGTGTATTGCAGTGGCTAGAGCAAGCAAATAAAAAAATTTAAGTGTAATGAAGACAACTCAAAAAAAAAAAAAAAAAAATCGGTTTATACACAATATATGAAGTTAAAAAGAAATCGTTTCAGACTAAACTTTTCTTTCAATAAAAGCTTCTGCAACGAGTCTTTTCTTAACTATTGTCTGCAATATGCAATTTGCATCCAAGGTATAAAATACTGCAAATATTACTCCAAAAAAAAAAAATCCTGATTTTAAATACTACTGCTGCTGTATCAAATCGTATGTCTTTGCTCATGTACTCGTGCAGCCATGAAGTTCTTGATCCAAAGAACTGGAGTAATTCTCCCACTCCTTGGGTCCCCTCCTAGTTCCCAAGGGATGCATAACTCTGCTGGGTTTAGCGATTCTCTTCAGAAAAAAAAATGATAAAATTATTATTCTAATAACAATAAACTTTCTACTACTACTACTTATAATAATAATAATAATAATAATAATAATAATAATAATAATAATAATAATAATAATAATAATAATAATAATAATAATAATAACGGTGATTAGAAAAAATGAAAATATTAAAAATTTATTGAAAAGTCGTAATTGAGATGTGTTGAATCAGTGGAAAGAAAGAAAGGTTCAAAATTAACCTATGAACTGGAATTAAAAACTAAACGTATCGGTCTGTTCTGGATCATTCTCAAGGCCTCGCGTTCAGACAATGGTCTACCAGTCACCGAAATATAGCTTAGTTTCTGTTTCCATTTGGTGAACTACAAGTAAATTGCTCCAGAAACTGTACGGTCATTCTTTTCCAAGAAGGAAGGACTAGCAGAGATGCTCGAGCATCAAATAATTCGGCGTGAGCTTTATGGTTCATTACCTGGTGAGGCAGTGAGCAGCTGAGAGAACATAGTCGTGAGTGATGACGGTGGCCGTGCAGCCATGATTCCCGTTGATGATGACAGCAGCCAGCCAAGGCCATTGTGGTTGTTGCTTCCTGTTCAGCGGATTGCTTGCACCGAGACTTCTGTACCTGGGCCGCTTACCACACACTGCAGGAGTTAAGTATCAGAGCGAGAGGCATATCACATTCTCATGTATTTACTACTTAGTACAGAGTCCTTTACTCTTGATATCCTTGAAATTATATATATATATATATATATATATATATATATATATATATATATATATATATATATATATATAATATATATATATATATATATATAAAATATTATATATATATATATATATATATATATATATATAATATATATATATTTTATATATATATATATATATATATATATATATATATATGCAATAAGATCACAGTAAACAGGTGATTTCAAAATATGCAAAACAACCACTCTGAAAGAATAGAGAAATTCCAAGCGCTTTCGTGACTACTCACATTATCAAGGAACTATGAAAGTGAAGCATCCAAGGAAGCTATATAAGGGGTCGGCCAGCACCTCACTATCAGATCCCACAACGGTTAAACACGTGACGCGCGGCGAGCCAACTTGGACAGGTCCTTTGCAAAACTCACCCCCAAGCTATTTATTTGTCCAGTGTATTATTAAATTTAATAATACACTGGATAAAGATTTCCATATGCTGCATAAGTGTCTCAATCTTCAACTTGTCGGTTTTTCAAACCATTCATCACCACTGGACAAATAAATAGCTTGGGGGTGAGTTTTGCAAAGGACCTGTCCAAGTTGGCTCGCCGCGCGTCACGTGTTTAACCGTTGTGGGATCTGATAGTGAGGTGCTGGCCGACCCCTTATATAGCTTCCTTGGATGCTTTACTTTCATAGTTCCTTGATAATGTGAGTAGTCACGAAAGCGCTTGGAATTTCTCTATTCTTTCAGAGTGGTTGTTTTGCATATATATATATATATATATATATATAATATATATATATATATATATATATATATATATATATATATATATATATATATATATATATATATATAACCTGAGTACTGACCTCTTCCAGTCTCAGTGAATATGGAACCTGAGTACTGACATCTTCCAGTCTCAGTGAATATGGAACCTGAGTACTAACATCTCCCAGGCGCTGTATGCACCAAATGGGCTTGACGCTTGTTATTTAATATAAAATAATTCGCTATGGCTGGCCTGCTTTCTACTAGCCTAAAAATTTCATGGACTGTAAATAATTTCTCTCTTGGCAACAGTTATCAAGGGAAAGAAATAGTCGCCTCAGACAATGATTGTTAGATCAACGATTATAAACCCAGATGACACATCTATGCTCACTGTACAGATGTAAACCCACCTATCCTTTTAAAATTACATCTGTACTGGCATGTCTTATAAGACAAAGGACATCGTATCTCACAGCAGCAGCAGTCAGCTGGCAGGTGTAACTCAACAGGCCCTTGAAAGAATGGGGAAGAGGAGGGTCTTGATGGATATGTAGGGCTCTTGATCTGAGAAAGTAGTCCTAGAAGGTTTAACGCTTCCCCATGAACATTTAATTACAAACTCAAAATATTCTTGAACTGGTGTTTAATCGGTTTCCTCCGACAACAACTGACTGTGAAGCACCTGTGATCTCATGGGAATACCACCTTGTTAACTATACGTGAAGGATATGGCGCCTGGATATACCACGTACTATATATAACTATTACTATATCCATGGGTAATCACTAAATTTTTGAGGGTCGCACAGCACCTAGGGAATGGGAGGGATTAGGGTGTAACCACATTTTATCCGGAAAGGGGTGAGGTACCTCCGAATCTTTGATTCAAGGAACCTAATTCCTACTGAACCTTTCACCCCATGAGTTGTGTATTCTTCCATCGTTGCTGGGTTTGGGTTATTTATTACCTTCGAACAGAGAGTTAGCTTCTAAATTATTATTGTCTTTATGATATACACTAATAAACTTGGTTTATTACAATTATCAAAATTACACATACGCATCAACTTCTATTTAACTGCGACAGATGATGAGATTCTCATCAACTTATAATTTCGCTACGATATTTAGTGGGAAACAGCGTTTTGAATTCATTCATTCATACATTCTCTGTTTACACTGCTGAAAATGCCCTTTGGTTTCTGCATTCTGGCGAATACAGTTCTGTAGTGTGTTTATCTCATGATTAGAGGACGAAGTATAGAGTTTCCATTAGTCATGTTAAATGATCCAGACTTGTTTAGCGCTTCATACAATTAATAATACTTCAGTCTTCATGAACCTTGTCTTTCAACCATGAACTTCAAGTCATTCATTCCTAACACCTTAAAGTTAAAATGGTCCTGACATGAGGGAGCAGAACATATCTTGGCTTTTCTCGGCGTAAACAATGAATGCTAAAGTTCGTAGGCACTTATCTGGACACTCGAGAATTTGCTTGTCATTTAGACTATAAGATAATTGAAATTCCTTTCGTCAGTGGTCAGTCAGTCGTCAGTGGTCAGTCGTCAGTCGTCAGTGGTCAGTCGTCACGTGAGGTCACAGACCCTGAGCTGCTTTGGGGATTAGTGTGGACGGTTACAAAGCATGGCTTGCTTCTGCAGTGTTTTAAAAATTGAGGTTGGAGAGTTGAAGGAGGAGGTCTTGCTTCTCCAGGAGGAGATTAGGAGGCTGAAGGACCACTTCAATGGGTCTGGGAGAGAGTGTGAGGTGGCTGGAGTTGTGGGGAATGAGGCTTCAAGTGAGGTGCAGTCTGTCTCTCGCTGTGAGGAGGCTGTAGTTGGGGAGGTAGCAACGGCTACCAGCAGTGAGGTGCAGTCCAGCCCACTCAAAAGTTCCTCGGGTCAGCTCACTGACAGTGATAAGGAAATGTGTAGAATTTTTAACACATACTTCCTCTCAGTTTTTACACAGGAGGATACCAGCGATATTCCAGTAATGATAAATTATGTAGAACAGGACGATAATAAACTGTGCACTATTAGGGTCACAAGTGACATGGTCCTTAGGCAAATAGATAAATTAAAACCTAACAAATCCCCAGGCCCTGATGAACTGTATGCAAGGGTTCTAAAGGAATGTAAAGAGGAGCTTAGCACACCTTTGGCTAATCTTTTCAACATATCACTACAAACTGGCATGGTGCCAGATAAGTGGAAAATGGCAAATGTGATACCTATTTTCAAAACAGGTGACAGGTCCTTAGCTTCGAACTATAGACCAATAAGCCTGACCTCCATAGTGGGAAAATTTATGGAATCAATAATTGCCGAGGCAGTTCGTAGCCACCTTGAAAAGCATAAATTAATCAACGAATCTCAGCATGGTTTTACAAAGGGGCGTTCCTGCCTTACGAATTTATTAACTTTTTTCACTAAGGTATTTGAGGAGGTAGATCATGGTAATGAATATGATATTGTGTATATGGACTTCAGTAAGGCTTTTGACAGGGTCCCACATCAGAGACTGTTGAGGAAAATTAAAGCACATGGAATAGGAGGAGAAATTTTTTCCTGGATAGAGGCATGGTTGACAAATAGGCAGCAGAGAGTTTGCATAAATGGGGAGAAATCAGAGTGGGGAAGTGTCACGAGCGGTGTTCCACAGGGGTCAGTGTTGGGCCCCCTGCTGTTCACAATCTACATAAACGACATAGATGAGGGCATAAAGAGCGACATCGGCAAGTTTGCCGATGACACCAAAATAGGCCGTCGAATTCATTCTGACGAGGACATTCGAGCACTCCAGGAAGATTTGAATAGACTGATGCAGTGGTCGGAGAAGTGGCAGATGCAGTTTAATATAGACAAATGCAAAGTTCTAAATGTTGGACAGGACAATAACCATGCCACATATAAACTAAATAATGTAGATCTTAATATTACGGATTGCGAAAAAGATTTAGGAGTTCTGGTTAGCAGTAATCTGAAACCAAGACAACAGTGCATAAGTGTTCGCAATAAAGCTAATAGAATCCTTGGCTTCATATCAAGAAGCATAAATAATAGGAGTCCTCAGGTTGTTCTTCAACTCTATACATCCTTGGTTAGGCCTCATTTAGATTATGCTGCACAGTTTTGGTCACCGTATTACAGAATGGATATAAATTCTCTGGAAAATGTACAAAGGAGGATGACAAAGTTGATCCCATGTATCAGAAACCTTCCCTATGAGGATAGACTAAGGGCCCTGAAACTGCACTCTCTAGAAAGACGTAGAATTAGGGGGGATATGATTGAGGTGTATAAATGGAAGACAGGAATAAATAAAGGGGATGTAAATAGTGTGCTGAAAATATCTAGCCTAGACAGGACTCGCAGCAATGGTTTTAAGTTGGAAAAATTCAGATTCAGGAAGGATATAGGAAAGTACTGGTTTGGTAATAGAGTTGTGGATGAGTGGAACAAACTCCCGAGTACCGTTATAGAGGCCAGAACGTTGTGTAGCTTTAAAGATAGGTTGGATAAATACATGAGTGGATGTGGGTGGGTGTGAGTTAGACCTGATAGCTTGTGCTACCAGGTCGGTTGCCGTGTTCCTCCCTTAAGTCAATGTGACCTGACCTGACTAGGTTGGGTGCATTGGCTTAAGCCGGTAGGAGACTTGGACCTGCCTCGCATGGGCCAGTAGGCCTTCTGCAGTGTTCCTTCGTTCTTATGTTCTTATAAGCTGAGAAACAATTTTGGCCTCTCTTAAAACATCAGTATTTCCAGCTCGTCAATGTCTCTTAACTCTTAACTAAATCCAAGTAGGTATTGCCGCTGGTAATGTGGTATAAGCACACGCTCCAGGAGAAGCTTTTAATGACACGATATTTCTGTGTGTGTGTGTGGAGGTTTCTCATGTCATGACTTGATTAGGCTCTACACAGAGCAAAGCTTTGTCCAATAAAAACTTGTTCTGCCATTCACAAATAACATGTACACAGGAGAAAGAAGCTTATGACGACCTTTCGGTTCGACTTATACCATTTACAAGTCACACTAACACACGAAGGTGAGGAAGTAAGTGTATATAGGAGAAGGGGATTGTTCCAATCACGATATTGTGCCTTTTTGTTCTTTGTTCTGTCATGTTTTTTTTTCTA